CCTTTGCGGTATCAAAGTACACTAGAAACAACTCCTCTAGGAACTCTAATGATTCCCGATATATCATCACTATTTTGGAGTGTAAAATTACCATTACCATACACTCCTGTTCACTAGTGCCCTTACATTCATTCCAATATTTTCAGTGATTTCATTGCAGTTATAGTTGATGTCTGGGGTCACAAACCTCAGAAAGTATGGTGAAATTCTTGAATTTTGTTTGAAGAGCCAGTGTGCTTATAAAACCTCATTACCTTACTGTGGATGCTATCCTTGATCATATCCTTCGGTCCCTGTTGCCTGCTCCAAAGCTTGACTTGAGATAACTGTGTGTTGATCAGTCAGATTACCATTAGGTAACTTTTACTTGGATCCCACATGTGCAGTGTTTGTAGAAAGGGGAATACTCATAAATCATTAAGTTCAAAATTGTCTCTTAACTCAATACTAACAAGTGATTGCGAAACCTGTGAATTCACTCTCTGAATCTTTTTTTCACACCTTCCAAAACAATAATTCATCACGTATAATTAAAGTTTCTTCACTACTGACTATTCTTCATTCAAGACTGTAGGAAATAGGAGAGCTTTTATTCTATGATGTATTTATGCTTTATCCTTGGATTTATCTCAGACACATTCCTATAATAGAATGTGGGATACCCAGAGACTGGACTCTAATCACGACTACACAGTCAATTCACCCAACATCATAAAAGCTACGATGGTCAATTATAGAATGCTCCAGGGTGTTCATTTGTAAACCAAATGGCGTACCATTATAATGTCTATGTGTCATGTGCATTCAGTCGGGGTTACCATAGTATGTGGTTGTTTGCCAGAGGCTCTGTTCCCTCATTATCATTCACTATTTAATTGGATCATTGTCGTAAACAATTGAAAACTAAGAGGAGCATGTAGTAACAGCTAGTTTGCATTCAGGAAATTGAAAATTTGTTAAAAATGTTCTGGAGCAGGTTTGTTTTGTTGTTTGAATGAAAAGGCACGTGAAATGAATTCAATCGTAGATCATTTTGATGGAAGAGATTTTATGTTATAGCTAATGCTTTTACATAAATTACAGAGGTGTTTTGATGGTTAAAATAAGTAATCCAACATACAACAAAAGTGTTTTTTTTGGTTGAGAAGCGCTGTTTATGTGTTTGTGGTAGGGGAACAAAGTATCACAATTCCATTACATCTTAAGAACATTTAATATTGCCAGTGGAAATAAATCCAGAGCTTGATCTTCACACAGACACCAAAGGCAATTACCTTGATGTCAAATAACTTTGCCTTGGTGCCCTAAGATAATTTTTATATTACATGTATTTCTATACATTTGTATACATGTACTAAGACCATTTTTGAAATGAGGGTCCTTTCAATTCTGAAACTTAATCTCTATGTACAGTTGTATGTAAAACAAAAATGATATTTTAATTATAATTTAACATATTAATATATAAGATTCAACAATGTTTTAAAAATATTATATTTTTTTCTCATGTACATTTTATTTTATGTCCAAATTATACATGTATATATTCTGGCATAATTATTTGAATTTGGTTACTCATGAAAACTTATAAAACTTATAAAAATATTATACTGTTTATACATGTAGGTGAACTTATTTCTGTGAGTGTTGTGGGTCCTGACAGTATACCAAATGAAGTGATACAATAATGCACATATTTTCACAGAACTCAAACAGAATCACATGTGCGCTATTAAAAGTATTCTATCTCGGGCAATTTGTGAATTGTGACCGGAAATGTAACCATATTGGTGCATGTACATGCACATTATAGCGGAAGCATGATAAATATAAAAAATAACTTATCTATTTAATTAAAATACCATATATCCATTATACCATATGTCTTTGAAAAGTGAGGGTTAGTTAAATTTTTCAAAACATTATTTACAATTATTAATTTTCCTTTCAATATAGGATCACACCTACAGACTGTCAAAAAGTGAATGTTTTGAGTTTGAATTTCCTTTTTTATATGTAGCACATGCAATGTTGAAAAGCTGATCTTTCAGAGTGAAATGTGGCGTTGAAATACCCTTTATATACCGGTAATACTTTATCAAAATTGTCCATCAACTATGTATATCACATTATTAAGTGTGAAAATACCCCAAAATTACTCTTGTATTTGTTAATTCCCATGCTATGTTTTGACGCTACTATGGCGTTATGATCTTTTTTTGTCCTGTTTTTATGCTTATTTTCATTTATAATGCAGGATCTGTAAATTGAAAATTGTATCTTGTTCTTTACTGTATGACATAATGCATTGAATCTGTTGAAAAGAGTGATTTCTTGTTTTTGGAACTGTAGGGTTCACGAAAGTAAAGCTGAAAATGCTGCTGTAGTCACAAAATACACCTGCTAAAATGAAATAGCTTGTTTCTTATGCATGCTTATTGGGTAAATATAATAGAAGGTATATAAAAACTAGTGCTTTTGGGCTTTGATCAAAATGTTATTATAACTCTCAGATAATCACCAATGTATTCATCCTGAATTCTGGATTCTCAATGTGCAAGGTTGTACTAGTTGCACTATGTTTTATCTCTCATGCACAGACTATTTGAAGTACTTGTACTAGTACTAGTAATTCAAATCACATTGAATGAGTTTCTGCAGACAGACTTGAATTAAACTTCATATTCTTGAGGACTCTTACAAATACTTGATGACAGAAAAATACAACATATTATAAAAAAGCTTGTGGCTTTCCATGACATCTACTACATCACATGACATTTTTGTTATTGTCATCACTGACGCTGATATCACCCCACCTCAGGCACCCTACATGCTTTCCAATGAATCATCATTTGTGATTGAAATCCACAGTAATGAGTTGAAGAAATTGTGCTGGCTTTATATTTCACGTTAATACACACTGGCGTTGATGTTGTTCTTATGCTGACTTGTGACCTTTACTATATTACATTTGATTCTTTTGTGTTATATGCACGTTCTTGTATATTAATGTTGCACATAGAGTATATTGTTGACAGTACGGCAAGTCTACATTTTCCTAATATTATGTAACCTATATTTGCATCATAGGTCATAAGTCATTTAAGGTTAAAGGTCAAAAGTCAAACCGAAACTTATGGCAATAAATCATCAAGCAATCACAGCCGAGCGAATGAGCATGGAACCCAGTTGAGATAATGGCTTATGGCAACATACTAGTA